CCCCCCCCCCCTCCTTTCCTGACAATGGGGAGCCAGCCGGAGTGCCACTCCAGCCGCTTTGCACGACGGCTCCGTTTTGTAGTAAAGAGTTCTACAGTTCTACAGTACGTTAGTCGTAGCCGAGTTTGATCCAGGTCGATCGTGCACGATAGTGCACGGAGTGTAAAGTGCGCGACTTACATACATACTAAAATTAGATCAGAAGGATCGCCAAAAATAAATAAAACAATATAAAATATTTAAGATAACTGAAATATAAATTTTTAAAGAAAGAGGGATTTGAAGACCTCCATAAAATAAAACAAACTTTGTCTAAAAATAAATGATCGTTCGAGAATCAAATCATCGTAAAGATGTAAAAATTAAAAAGTACGCAGATATTAAATAAAGAGTTTAAATAAAATGTTAATTTTATTTAAAAATGTAAAAAGAATTCAATTTTTCATTGAAGAATTTCAATTAAACAAGGATGGATTTATATGTTTGCAGTTATAATTCAAGAATGTATGCTTATGTTCGTTATGTGTGTGAAAAGAAGTGAATTATAAGACCGTCTGGCCACGCCGATCAATAAGGACTACTGAGGGTGTAATTCGTAAGCCCTATGTGCTTTTTGTTGTAAAGGGCGGTGGCTAGGTGCATAGGTCAAGAGATCGGCAATCTGCGGGATTTATATGTTATCATTATCAATAAAGAACTAGTGTGGTGAGAGAGATCTCTTGTCTTCGCAAACAATGGAGACATAGACACATGGACCTGCGCGTTCTTTCCAAGTACATTTTGTAGTAAGTATCTGTTATCAATCTTCTCTGATTTTATTTTAAAAACTTTATATTATTTAAAAGTACTTAAAATTGCACTGTACAGTAATTAAAAGTAATTTATAACTGTTAATTAAAAAATGTAATTTGTTATATATAATAACGAATTATAAAGTATAATAATAAATTATAAAGTATAAAGCATAATTAATAAAAATAATAATTAATAAAGGTTACATATATTGATAAAAAAATAGTTCATTAAACTAATCACGACTTATAATATTGATACTAATAGAAATACATTTTAGAATGAGAGATATTAAAACAGATAAATTTTTATTTTTATGAAACTTTTTATTTCTATTCAAATAAGACCAGATTTTTATTCTTCTTCTAAAAATTTAATAATTAAATACTCTAACAAAGGTTAATAAATAATAAAACACAAGTGCATGCTTTTTTGAAAATAAGAAATCTTATATAACTTAATTTTATATCTATACACGTTTTAATTTAATGAAAGATATATGTATAATGATGTAACACGATTGAACACGATTTTACAATTTGACATTTAAATATTATTTGTTTAAGTTAAATATTGTTAAATTAAGTACTAACATCGGTCACGTACGAATTTCGTTAATCTCGTAATGCAATAACAAAGTAATTAATCACGAACTTTGATAAAGTGAAATAAATATAAAGATTCGAATTATTTGAACTGTCAATTTCCGCAATACAAATACCAATGATGTTATTATACAGTTATCTACTGGAGCAGAGGCCGGAGGCTTTACGCCGGTTGCCCATCGCGTTGCGTTTCAATTTACGGTTCGTGAATTTAAGCAGTACTGCGCCCCATATAGTCGAGATATCCGGCTATTTTCCGTAAATTTCCTTACCTTCAAGCATTTTCGGAGAAACTGCTTTACACTTGATTCTTTCTCCGTTATAATTTTTTTTACATTCTTTTAATCATTTCTATATGTCTCTCATGTACACTAATGTATGACGTGCCTATAGGATCAACAAATAATTATGCAGTATTTTAGAAACAAAGGAAAAAAAATAATTTGAGAATGAAATCAAGCATGTAAATGCAAATTTACAAAAATAATAAATAGAAATTAATAAAGATTAATGCTAAATAAATTTAAAGTTAGATTATTAGAAATCTTTTGGGAATATATAAATGTTGAAAAAGAAAGAAAGAGATGTTAAAAAAATATTACTTACAATATTATATATTAATATTATATTCAAAATAAATATTTCTTTTTAAAAATTAAGAAGTATCCAAAGAAGAAATTAGTAATATATTATATTTCTTTTTAAACTGAACTATATTTATAATAATGTAATAAAGTTTTATTGAAAATTATAATTAAAATCAAGCATTATTTGAAATTAAAATGTACAAAATATAAGTAATCGGTAATTTATTTTTTATATGAAATAAATTTTGTTAGATAACAAAATATTGTGAAATATTCTACATATCCTTTAACTTTTTAATACCTTTATTATATTTTATTTATATTATATTTTATCACAAAAATTGAAATATTTTGCATTTAAGTAATGAGTAAGGACTTCTCTACTACTAGCCCATTCAACCATCAAGTATTATGAATGGGAAAACGCAAAAGCAAACTTTCTCGCACTCTAACAAGCTCAAAGAAATCGGCTTCCATTCTTGACACTCAATTGTAAGGAGGAACATTGCATAGTAAATTCAATATTCCAGATGCTCGAAATGATCATCAACTTCCCAACGTGATGTCACGAAAAAAACTATTTGTACGAAAGGCGAGAGTGTAAGGTGTTAAGAGCTGCCTCCGGCGATAATTCGCGCGAGTCATCCTAGCCCTGATGAGACGCGCAGTCCTACATAGCCATAGTTCCACGTAATAAAAGAGTTTCTCTGCATGCTTTCTAACCACGCGTTATGCTCGCTATTGCAGACGCGTTTCGTCGTTGGACGATGTGGTCGTTCGTCCAGCGCTTATGTTCTTACATTTGTCCGCTAACACGATGACAAACTCGATTGCACGTTACCAGCAAAATTGTTACGTTTAATGGCACGTCCTTGCATCATCTTGTCGAGAGCTAAAACATATAACATCAGTGAATCTCGCGCCATTCTCTTATTAAAGCAATATTTATAAAATACGTTATTATTTTTTTAAAAAGCCTGTTATTTTAATACCTTTTCGTCAATAATATTAAAAAATTCCAAAAATGTCTAAAAATATCTCAAATGTTGTGTATTTTCAATTTTATGAATGGTCAGTCAAAGATGCATGTATAATTCGGTGATTTTTTTTTTAATGTTATTATTATTTTCTTACAACTTAATATTTTCAAAGTATAATTTTTGCTTTTGCGTTACTTTACTTAATTACAATAGAATTAAATATATTTATTTAATTCAAAAAGAGTGAAGGGAAATTTATACTAGATGTACATAAAAAGGAAATTAAGCAGAAATTAAGCAGGAAAATTATATAATAAAAAAATGACAAAGTCCTAACTATAACGTTATATAAAATTCTTGTACTTTCGCATTATTACATCATATACAGTTTACTGTTGCATCATTAAGAAAGAGAAAGAGAGAGAAAATTAATAGAAATATCAACTATGCAAATTGATCAATAAATTCATTAAAAACAAGTTAATTATTTAAAATTATTGCAGTCTATTGTCTATAAATAGATCACAGAATTGTATTACAAATAAAATACATTTCTTATTTCTAATTAAAAAACGTAATAATTAATAAATTAATTAAGAACTACTATAAATCTTTACAAAAGTCAATAACTCGTGATATCCCCTGCACAAAATCTCCTCGCGAGATGAAACGCTCCTTGACGAGAAGCAATAAAAATTTCATAATGATTCCGAGAAACTGAGTATAAAGACGTTTTGAACGCAGGAAATACCATTTCCGTGGATACGATAAATCGAAATATCTTCTGGGAAATTTAGTTCCCACGGTCCGCGGGAAGATTAAAGGAAACTCAGTTGCGCGCAAAAGTGACGCGCTACACATCTCTCATCCCTTTATCCCTCGCTTTCCGTCACTGATTTTCATTTCTTTTTCTTGCAGATGCATCTGTCGACGGAATCGGTGGACGATGATCTTGAATTGCCATGGGACGAAACGTATTGAGCATCTTGCTGCTCCTCTGCTGCATGCTGCAACCGCACGTCGGACAGCGTAAGTCTTCTTGCACCACATACACCAATCTTTCTCTCCATATACATGTTCCTGTCATAATCTTCTAAGAAAAAGTGTTGGAAAATCTTTTGAAAAAACTTTTATTCAATTTATAAATTTTAATCTCTTTTATCAAATGCAATATATTAATTAAATAAATGCAATATATAATTTCCACGATCAATATATTAAAAATTTATTACTAGTAAATAGAATAAAATTTTAAACAAGATATAATTGAAAAGTTCGTTCAATTAAATCGTTATCATTCTTTTCTAAATTTTTTTCTTAAAGAATACAGTGATTGGACAAATAAATGAATTGGGATGAAAAATCTAGGCAAGTTTACAATTTATAAATTCTTGAATGCAGCTATCTGCATTCAAGAATAGACTTTACACATTATGTCACTCATTTCATTCTACCATCGAAACCTTAATTTTATTTTTATCTGAATCATTCACCTCTTCACGCGGATTGCACGGAAAATACAGCTTGCATCTGTATGAATCGACTCAGATCATAAGCGTCGTCGAATGTTCGTATTAATTTTGAGAATATTTTTGCGCACGATCGAACGGGCGCTCGCTTTTGCTAGCGAGAGGTCCTCGTCTATACGCTAGGAAAGGAGTTTACGAAAGGCCGCAGAGCGCCGTAACGCTGCGCCGCCGACGATACGCCATGAGTTCGCCGCGACCGGAACTCCGCTCCAGGGAAGCGCGCATATCTACCCCTCTCGCATACGCGTTAAACAGCCCACGCGTATTCGTCTACGCATCCGATTCGCGTCCTTCCACCGTCCGAATTCCCGTCGATCAACCGGGAAGAACGAATTTACATGACGCGACGTTTCATTCAGGTCTTTGTCAAACGGATCATTTGAAGCGTAATTTTCGAATGGAATTACCTTCTTCCTAATTGCAACACAGTCTCATTACCGTGATATGAAAGTGTCCAATTAAGCTCGTAATATTAGCACACATATACGTATGGAAACCGCTATTTTGGAAATCGCTACGAATATTTTGTTCTTTCTGATTTTATCTCGATTTTTATTACACGTTATTCGCTCGTTATTGGAATAAAAGCATAACGGTAATCTGAAAGCTCTTTAAAGCAAAACGCTAAATCGTTTCGCTAAAACTGCCGTTTTGCCTATCAGTCGATTATGCACAGTAATTATAGCAATCGATATATGCATAAAGTGTGGACCTGAAAATTTCCAACGGCGATAACACTGGTGGTAGGCAAACGAGGCGCAAAAGCGGCTATCGTGATTTATACCGGCGTTAGAACAACTAAAGCACTGTTGTTAGATAAACGGCCTCGCCGCCCCTTGTGTGCATTTTATATGCATCGTAATTTATCCACCTATTATATGTACGAGAGTAATAATAGTACACACACATAACAATCTTTTACTACGTTACGTGTCACATATGTCGACTCTCATGTTCTCTACTTTATTTTAACTTTTCTTTTTTACTTAATTAACTTATTAATTTTTCTCTAAAAATAGTCTTTTCTTTCTAACATTGTTAAAAATTATTAGTTAACTGAATTCACATAAAATATTGTATTGTAAGCAAAAATATATATATTATATAATGTTCTAAAAAACATTAGGAATATTATTATATTTGCATATACAATAACTTCATTTCTAAACTTTGTGTACATATTTTGTATTCTTAAAGAAAAATATTTTATCCTTTAAAATTAAAGAAGTATTCACGGTTTAGATACTCCTGCTACGCTCTAGATTACAAAATTACGTTACGTTTACGGTAAACTTAATTACGGTACGTTATAACGCTTCTGGAATGCATGTATTTGCGCAGGATCGTTTGAAGTCATTAGAACAGATCCATTAATAACTGGACAGTGTTACGAGGTACTAACAGCATAAGCGTTACCTAAGCCTGCGTGTGTAAAGTTATCCACTGTTACAAGCAACGAATAGAACAGAAAGCTCTCTTCTTGCATGTCATTTGTGGTTAAAAGCACAAAAGTGCATGCTTTCTTGCCGTTAAGGATTTCATAAAACAGACGTCGTTATACGGTAATACGATATCTATTTTGTTAGATAATCCGAAAAAAGACAAAGTAAAGAGGTCCTTTAATGACACTAAATGCAGCAAACCACCTAAGAAATCGTTTATTATTTTGTTTATGTATTCTTTTTTAATTAATTTTTTAAAGTTATTTATTCTTATCAGATAAAGTTAACTTTATTTATAACAGCTTAAAAAAAACTTTAAAAAAACTTCAAATGTAACGGTATATATAAAATCAATACCAATTCAAAGAACAGAATCAGCGATAAAAATATATATTTCATCAAGAGTTGTATGATTCATTTGTTACTATATTTTTGACAATTGCCATTTCCAAGATAGCACATTCTAAAAAAAAAAAATGTGCAGAAACTAATTAATGCTTAATAAATGTTTGGAGAAGATTCGCAAGAATAATACATTTTTAAGCGCATTTGTGTTTTAAAATTTATTATTCTTGCGAATCTTCTCCAAACATTTATTAAGCATTAATTAGTTTCATCACATTTTTTTTTTAGAATGTGCTATCTTGGAAATGGCAATTGTCAAAAATATAGTAACAAATGAATCATACAACTCTTGATGAAATATATATTTTTATCGCTGATTCTGTCCTTTGAATTGGTATTGATTTTATATACCGTTACATTTGAAGTTTTTTTTACGGAAGATCCTTGTCCCACGGTCCTTTCATCATCACGAAACTTTCGTACAGCCCACTGAAAACCGGTTATACGATTTCGACCGGAAACTCCGGTAACCTCAACGGCACTAATTCAATAGCGACCATTTTTTTCGAGCGATATGAATTTTTGCATTGGATAAAAGATACAGCACATATATTTAAATAACAATATGTTCTATAAAATACAAGTATTGTTTTTATCTGTTTTAAAGGAAAAAAAAAGAAAATCGGGTGATGATGATGATATGTATATCTTATATTATAGTATATAAAAACGCTGCAAATATCCATATCAACCTTTCACCGAATTTTCTTTAAAATAGTGACGAATAAAAATCCGATATTTTTGATCGGATTTGAACTCGGGTCTTTGACACAAAGAGCAGTCACACAACTCTTTGCGCCACGACCGTCGCTGTTATAAATAAAATAAAATAAAATAAATTAAATATCAGGAAAGACCGTGGAATCTAACAAATAATTGGGATCGTAAAACGCCTACACGGTACAAAGCGGATATTGGTGCTTCTATATAATATTAGTATAAATCTTACAATTTTCGTTTCATATATAACACCACGTGGCCGCCAATCGCGTGCTTCACCGCAGCTCCGAACCGAGCAGTATGTATAATATCACAATTAAATTGCCGAAGGCAATCTAATAAATAGATGCACAAAGCATCTATTTTAAATCCTGAGAAAATAACTTATTGCGAAAAATATTACCTCAGCCGGGATTCGAACAAGGACCTCCCTACTCTCCGGATGAGCGTCCTACCAATTAAACTACCGAGCGGCATGTTCAAAATAAAATTAATAAAATAAAATACAGTGTTAATCGTAAAAATCATGTCCAAAGATTACTTTCTATAACAAGTATAGATTAAAAATTTAAATTTAAATGTGCAATACTTCTACCGATGACTTCGCGCATCTTTTCTCCTCGCTCCAGAAATCAATTTCTTTTTCTTAAGCGTTATTAAGCATTTCTGACTCAACAACAAACTACGCTTCATTATGCGTGTTAACGTTCGCTCGACTTTTTTTCAGTGCCTCGAGACACGCGATGCTTTCTGGAGACTGGACTCACCTCGGCGAATCTCTTTGTCAGCGAGGATCTGTCCGTCGGCGGTACCGTGGGAATCCTCGGAGTGCTAGGTGATGCTAGCTCGCAGGGTGATATCGAACTGAGCTTGCAGGAGCATGACAGCCCCGTCGCATTCTCGCCATACTCAAAGAATTTGACTCTTATCAGACCGATTGACAAAGAGGGTGTCGAGGGTCCCTCCAGCATCTACATTAACGTTATCTGCGAGAAGAAGCATAATACCGTGGACCCAGTAAGATAATCCCTAGAAGCGATTACATTACACTAAATATTAAAGTAATAAAACATATATTTTCAAATACAATATTGATTTTATTTTTTTTTAGATTTTATAAAAAAATTTTAAATACTAAAAATATAAATTATAATCCAAAATTTTCGCATCTTTTCTTCTTTATTCATAAATTGTTCGATAAAGTTATTACAAGGTATAGATCTTTCTTTAAGTATTAAATTTATATTTTAGCAGATTAATTAAATTAATTTGACGTAAAAAAGTTATTAATTTTCTCTTTATCGTCTCTTAAGAAATTACGATTAATTTTTAAAGGGATTCATCATACCGGTGAACATCCGAGTAACTGACGTGAACGATAATTCACCAAAATTTATAAGTGCACCTTACGTGCTGAATATTTCTGAGGTGAGAAGATTCTTGATATTTTAATATTAATTTCACTCATTCATTTTAACAGCGCTTGGATATTCCAGGTTACCGTCGTTGGCACGAGAGTTCTACAAGGAGTCCGAGCTGTTGATGCCGATCAACCAGGACCTTATTCCACTGTACAGTACTCAATCTTACCAGGAAATCACTCGGTAAATTTTATAAACATTTACAGAGCTAAATTATTTTTAGCTAATAATCCGTATTATCTCAGCATTTCTCATATATGTCATATATATCTATATTGCTAATCATTTCCTACGTAAATAGTACTTTTATTCTTCAGAATATTATTCAAGATTTGCTTAAAGCTTTGAATAAATAATTATTTTTCACGCGCAGGATTACTTTACTTTCGTAAATGCGTTGGAAGGCACTCTTGTACTAAGAAAATCGCTCGATTACGAAACTCTCACCAACTTCTCCGTTGGTATCCGTGCTCAAGTAAGTACGATCTTATATTTAAACTCAATATTATATTTCAAAAAATCAAATATTAAGATTAATATACTAACAAACATACAGTTGTCAAATTTTATTATTATTCCACAAATCTGACAGTTATACATTACGTAAAAGCGAATATCTAAAAGTGTTGTGGAAACTTTTTTTCTCAAATGGAAAAATATAATTTAGATCTGGGACAATAGAATTGATAAAATTCCTGAATATATAGAAATTGCTCTTTTGTAACACAATATACAGTGTAAATCCATAAAACGATAACGGAATTCAACGTCACAAAAAAAATACCGTAAATGGATCATAACGGTTTTGAACAAATTGATTCGAATAAATTGATTTGAGTGATCGATGCGTATCGACACGCAACAGTGAACAAGTGAAGATTACAGAGAATTGATCGAACAATGCTTCCCTTGACTATTTTCTCACGCTTATAAGTCGTATTCTAACAATAGGAAGCTAAAAATACTTTCTTTCCTAACATAATTATGTATAGTCTCGATAATAAATTTTAACTCTTGACGACAGCTTAACAATAAGAGATATTTTTCCTTACAGGACCAAGGTAATCCACCACGTTCGTCAACGACAACGTTATATGTTAATGTTCTCGATGCCGACGATCAAAATCCGGCTTTTTTGAACCATGAATATCAGGTCATCGTACCTCGTTACATAAAAGGGGTAAGGTTGACTTATTCTATTAACAAAAGCTTAATTCGCGATTAGATTCCATTCGGTGCAATTCAACAGAAATTAAGATTTTAAAATAAGATTTGTAAATTAATTTATTGTTCTTCAGAGAAAATCGTTAAGGGTGATGCCTACCGTGATAAAAGCCGTAGATCAAGACGTCGGTATAAATGCGCCGGTCCGATATACGGTACACAGCGGAATGTTACCTTTTCTGGATTTGAATCCTGAGACTGCTGAAATCTTCATGATACGCTCGCTGCAGGACTACGAGTTAATGACACCAGCAACTATCGTTATTAGGGTAGAAATATCACTTTTTCAATACTTTATTAACATATTTAAAAATATGATAATAATAATAATAATATTGTTTAAAAAATAGGCTACTCAAGTGAATAATGCGGATAGATATACCTTTACCACAATTATTGCATCGCGAGAAGATATGGTTGGTCCAACAGCAGGTAAATAATGTATATATAAAGATTTAATATATATGTATCTTTTTAATAAAAAATAATTAATTTTTAAAGAATATATAATATTTTTTTTAATAACATCTTATTGCAATTATATATAATTATATATACATACTTTTATTTAGCTAGATTTAATATTATTATACATTGACTAGGTACATTTATTAGGTATAATTAATTAATTAGCAATTATTATCTGTCTAGTGAATCAAATTAGTTTGCAACTATTAAATAATTATGGTAAAGATTTATTAACAATATATTATTCATTAATATCAAAATTTAATTGTAGACACGTTTTATTGAATGTCAATAAATGTCAAAATAATAGTTTAAAAAATTGAATTATCAATTTGAAAGCAAATCTTATATCAAACTGATGGTTTATTTTATGGATGCTAGATGGCCGATTGCCCGTGAAATTTATACTAAAGAATTATCAAACGAGGGTACTGGAGAACAAGACATCCGAGAGCGTTCTTCTAACAGCAGGGGTCAACAAAGTTGATCCTGTAAGTAATGTAAAAATTTGCTTTGATGATGAGAATGCAGATAAATCATGACATAGTAGCGTAGTATAGCTTTTGATCCTAGGATTTGAAATTCTGGCTGGTGGGATCAGTGGGGGATCTAGAGAGATTCTCGATAACTAACTCTGGCCAGTTGATTCTCAAAGGGAATCTGGATTACGAGAAATCGACTGAGCACAGCTTTTTGGTTCACGTCACAGACGGATATCATGTACGTATATCTCAATAATGTTATTAAATTGTTTTTTGCTCATTACAATATACATACTTATATAATATATGTGTGCAGTATTAAATGTTATATTAAATGTTATATAGCGTGCAATATACAAATATTTTTTTCAGAACGATACGTCACGTGTGAACATTTCGGTCGAAGACGTAAACGAATGGCAACCTCGGTTCCAATATTCCCGGTATGAATTTCCTGCACCTCCCGCGATAGTAGGCTCTGTCGTAGGTAAATGTCAAATCAAAGAGAGTAATAAATAGTGAATATAAATTAAACTTAAAGGGTCTTACACACTTTCTCTCTCTCTTTGTCTTTCTCTCTCTCTCTCTCTCTCTCTCTCTCTCTCTCTCTCTCTCTTTTTCTCTTGATTTTCAAAGAACATGTAAACTTTTCAGGAAAATTAGAAGCTACTGACGGCGATTGGGGGAACAAAGTCACTCTGTCTCTCAAAGGACAAGATGCAAGGTATAAAATTATTAAGTTTAATAATAAAATTATATATAAAAGTTATATATAAAAAGTAAAATATATTTAAAAAAAACAAACATTTTAAAAATAAAATTACTTCCAGATTCTTCAAGATTAGAGATAACGGAGAATTAGTGCTGAGATCGCTAGATTCGTTTAACGGATCTGTGGCGCGATTCATGGCGATAGCTACCGATACCGGAATACCGCCAAGGTATTTTCGTGTGAATACTTGTGTACAATTACCAAAGGGTCTTTCTAGATATTAACCTGCGTTTGTCCGCAATTTCTTTAGATCCAGCACGGTCCCAGTGATAGTTAAGATGCCGAACGGCGGCTCGTTGCCGATCGCTGCGAGAGCCGCACCCGCTTGGCTAGGTAACAGCGTACTATTAGTTGCAATCTTCGGCGCAGTTTTAGGTCTTCTTGGAGTTGTCATACTCATTCTCATCCTTTACATTTATAAGCAGTGAGTAAATGTGTCCAAAACAAATTATAGCTACACATATAATAATAATTAAATAATAGTATAGAAACAGTATTTGTAGATATAACAATTATGTCTGTTTTTCTTTATACGTTTTTAATTCTTTGTATGTTCTTTAATCCCTAGTCAAGAAATTTATAATAAAAGTATTAGAGACTTGAAAATATTTGGAAATTCTTATTGGATCAAGAGAGATTTCTTTGACAATTTGATATTTCTTTCCGTTAAGCAAAAGGCCAAAAAGCGGTGGTTCGGTCAGCTCCGTGGGTACAGGATACCGCGAGAAATCACCGGTTCCCTCGGCTCTGAGTCCAACTCCGCAAGTGCTAGGCGCCAATGTTCTTCAGGACGCTTTGGAAGGCCCGCGGAATCGACGTTACGATATCGACGGCAACGAGAACGATAACGTGGACAGCCGTAACGAAATCGATAATCCCGTCTTCGGAGAAGCCAATGAAAGCTCGTACAGCGCTACAATCAAGAGTACGTTTCTATAGGCAACACAAGTCAAGCAATGCTTCGCAAGCTTTCTACCTTTTGCGCTCGGCATAATTTAACCCGACATACTTTACTCTGATTCTCCAACTTCGCATATCTCTCTTTTTATGCATAATCATTAAGTGATTATCAAAAACAGCTGCTCGATACAATTACCGAAATAAGATTTCTTATTTATTATCACGGATATTTTTCTTCCTCCTTAAGCAGTTTGGAATTTCATAGAAATCACAATCCCATTGTCGAAGATTGAATAACGTTAAAAAACTCCGTTTTATTCTCTTTTTTCTTATTTAGGTATAGCGTCGGCGAGACAGTTACCATTGTACGCCCGACATAAAGTAGCGCCCGCCCCGAATCCGCCAGCCTTATCAGCCACTTCGAACATCCCCAATATCGGCGGACTGGTGCAAAATATGAACGACTTGAGTGCTAGAACCAATTTGGATACCGGATCCCACGACTCTTCCAATTATTCCGGAGATCCTCCGGACTCCCTGGTGCCAGCGTGGCCTGCTAATTCAGTCTTGCCGAGGATCAAAAAGTTGTCCTGGGACGACGACGATAGGGTAAGTTTTCTTACGACAAATTTATTTGCGATCTAGCAAACAAACAAATCCATACATTCTTTATTTAAATTTCGTAAACTGAATGGCAAGTATAAAAAAAAAGATCTTGCATGAGTTGATCTATGAACAGACGTGGTTTTTTTTAAGAAATTTTACGAATTGTTAAACGAATTTAAAAACGATTTAAACGATGACACTTTAAACAACTGAATTGTGTCAAAAACTGAAATATTCTTAACTGTATTGAATTGTATTGAACAATTTAAATAGAGAATAACGTCTCGTATCTCGGTACTAATCGTTTCCTAAGGAATACAATTGTATTGACTTATGCAAGAAGAATAATTAAATCCAAGTTTGCTTGCAAATACAAACTTCGTGCAATCCTAGAGAGCAGATAGATGGAGAACACAATGGAGATAGAGGTATTTATCGTTTTCCAGACCGTGGATAGCGTCGAGGTCGCGGCGGAAACGCGAACCGGAGACAATCAAGCTGGCAACGAGAGGCTCAATCTCACCGTGTACTTCTAACGATTCCATTATTTTGTAAATGGGACGAATGTCCAATAACGACGGCGGAAGACTGTTGTAAGCGCTGTTTGGCCAGTTAAATAAAGTCTCGTTGATGTCGAAATTCTGCAAATGAACTTCGAAGCGTCGCAATGCGCGAGATGACCTTACCCGCGTATTCGGTCCACAGAGTATCTGTGCTGTCTGCGCAGTATAGCGTTAATTCGCATCATCCTGAATGGATTACCATTCATTACCTGCACGATGCAACATCCGATCTCCAATGTTATATGTAATCATTAGAAATTGTTAAGAATTTAATATTAGAAGAAATGTTACACAGAGCATGAAAAACATTTTAAACATTAAAGAGCAAAATAGGAAAAACTAGGGAATTGGAACGTGACGGTAAAGAGATTCGAATATCGCCGGGAATCTGACGATATCCTGTAAATTATTAATATATAGAAATAAATAAATAAAATATTTTTCACAATTATATTATTAATGTATAAAAAATATACCTAATTCTTACATAGTTAACGCATATATTTTTCATCGCCTCGTTAGCAAAACTGATAAATTTTATTTAATTCTCGCAACGTGAAACATTGTTCCAATGCTTACTATTACCTTTACCATTTTAACACAGATTTCTAAACCGCTAGTTTCATTTTGACGAAATTATTCGAAGAAATTATTCAAGCTTGATGTAGGTACACGCCACAAGGGTGAAAGTTTAATGCATAAGAGTACAAATTACAAGCTGCGCGAATCGCGTTATCACGAGAAAGTACGATAGCTGGTCACACGCTTCTGTCATTAAAATGATGTTTCCGCGTTTGCGCTTTGTTGACGCCACCGATATTCGAATGCACCGAGGAAATCGTGTCAGTAGGTCGATCTTCGCGAGTAATTACACAACGAGTAAATGAACGAACATTGCGGAATTTGAAATTCATGAAAACGTAACTTTCGTTGAAATAACAAAATATAACGTCAGACATAAAATTGCGGAAGAAATGCTTCTTGGCGCAAAAAGACGCGATAAAGTGATTCGTTTTTACGCATCTCTTTTACATTTCGTTGTCCTAATTCTTGCCTCCTCTTAGAAGTTGTGTTTACACTTCTGTCACTCTCCCTTTACATTCGCCTTACGTTCCGATTTTTATTTTCACCAGGGTTTTTATAATCTATAGTTATTTAGATAAGAATCTAAAAAGATGGAACTTCTGGACGTTTATACAAATTTTAATGATTTACTCTATATTAATTATTTTCTATTAATTATTATAAAAACCATATTATATGTATTTATTGCCATATCTTGTTAAAGAAATGATTAGAAGATGCATAAATAACCAAACTGCTCTTATATTCTTTATCGATTTTCGACATTCTTGTATCTATCATTTGTTATAAAAAAAATGGACTTATATATCTCTTTACAATCCATTTAAACTGTTATAATCAGCTTATCAAATCCCATCTGAGATGGCTTGCCGAAGAAAGTGACTTGACTTCTAAGGTGGGGAGAAAGTGACCTAGAGAGGTCTGGGCTACGACATCGTCCTCGAATCTTTTCTTCTCAGTCTTCCGTGACGTATGATTGGGTGTGGAATACTCGTGATACCAAGAAGAAAACATCTCCTGAGAAATTGATTATTTCGTGCAAGTCACATGAGTAAAGGTATTTACATGTTCGACATATAAAAATTCAACAGCTACTTTTTTAAAAAATATATAAAGTAACTATAAAAAAATTCGTTCTTTTTTATTTAAAATATCTCACTGACATTTTATTATATGCATGTAAATTTTAAAAATTGTAAAAAATGTGTTTTTTTAAATAATAATTTTTGCTAGAGAATTAAAAAATTTAATTAGTTTATTAAATTTTAATTTAAAATTTAATTTAAATTAAATCTAAAATTATAAATTAACATTAGGACAATTCTTCGTACTTTAATATTTCGAATATTTATATTGTTTCACTTAAAATCTTCCAATATTCAATATTGCATGTTGATTTTATATAATTTCTGTGTACATTTAATTGAAGCAATTAATATATTGGATATTACAATACGTTGCACTCTAACTGTAAATACAGAAACTTTTAATATATCTGCACGTATTGAAATTTCAAGACTAAACGCTACCAGTCATTCCGGTAAATAAGGCTGATAAAGAGAATTCTAACGTCTATCGTTTCCGACATTCATTATATCAACTTCCCTAATTTCATGCATTACGCAATTATCATTACGCAACGAAATGCATATACCAAAGCATCAAGCATTTTTTTCAGAAAAAAGATGTTTCTTAGAACGTAGTAAAATATTTACATGCATAAATTTATCGAAATATGCCAATAAAATATTGTAATATTTATTTTTATAAATAAACAACTATAACAATAAGAATCAATTAGTATCAAATAATTAGATGTAAGCATAATACATCTATTTGAAAATATTGTTGCAATTTGAATTGTGATAGAAAAATTTGTTATTTCTTATTTTTAACATTTTTTTATTTAAAGTCTTTGATGCTGGACTTATCTATAAATATTGCAATATTATAGTGGCCAAATTTTTTCTTAAAAAGTAAATATACTCATATTTTTAAATATATGTATATTTGTTCTTACACGTACTACCTAAAATTACTTTTTCTTTTATAAATTATGTTGTCATATACAATACATATACACATGTGTATATTACATACACATGTATAATGAAGTTTTCCAACATATCTGCTTGCATCCGGGTGTTTGCTATTTCAACATTCCACCGTAAACTTTCCTGGAGAAAGTCAGAGGTACCGCCAACACTGATCCAAGCGAAAAACGGAGCATCTTTATTTCGTTTACTTTACATTTTGCGCAAGGTTGAACGGCGGCCATCCAAAATCTCATCTACGTTTTTCTTCTTCAGTCTCAAAACCATGACGAAGAAAAAGATAGCCGTGCAATTATATCCTTCATTTATGCTTGTCACGTTGATAATAATCAGCGTGGTATCTGGTACGTATTATAATTTACATATACAATGTTTTATCAAATTTTAATTGAGTTATTATAAAAAATTTTTAAAAATAAGATTAATAAGTTGAACTGGACCGCTAAATAAAATTAATGTTATCGTCATATAATTACTAAAATTTTTTTTTAAATTAATAATATAGATTAAAGTATGTACGAAGTACGTACTCTTGTAATAATTTATTTTTTTTTAATTTGTCTATAATCATATTATTGTGCTATTATATTGCTATATTATTATGTTCTTATTTTATTAGATTATTACATTATTAAAAATACATAAATTTTTAATCCGGTACGACAAGATATTCCAATACAGTCAATATAATTTTATTAGTTGTGCCATCCCAACCGAATTTAACGGCTGTTACCGTAAATCATGGTCCTTGGGCAGAAATCCTCGAAAATTGGATCACCCTTCAGTCCAACAATTCTCGTGCCGCGCGAGTGATGAAGATTGATGATAAGACTGTGACAGTATCTAAAATTGTTACATCAAATAAAAGAGACGTCTCTGAAACCGATCTTTATCTACTTGGTATGATTAACAAGAAATTTAAAAGAATTGGATAATTTCATTGTCAATATAATTTATAAATAACGGCAACGATTATATAAAAAACATTTTTTTATTATTAAAAGAATGAAATTTAAGATCTTGAATGAAAAATTTACAGGCGCCATTGAGAAATTGGTATACAGAGTGGATTATCTAGAAAAACGAGTAAGAAGAGCAGAAGAATTGTTGTACTATGTTATTGCTGGAAATAATAAATTGAAAGGTAAACTGCTTTCGTATAAAAAATCATTGTTTTCGGTATGAGATAATAAATAATAATAATCAAAATATATATATGTATATCTTCTTTTCTCGTACTACACATTCAAAAGAAATTAATTGTTAAGAAAGAAAGGCAAATTTATTATTTACGAGTGTAAAAGATTTAATTTAGATCGTTTATTTATTATTGACATCACTTTTTCAGAACCTTGTCCTGCCAATTACACGAGAATGGGCCAAAACTGCTATCATTTCAGTAATCGTGATTTCAACTGGAAATCATCGGCCAGTCTCTGCCGCGGTATGGGTGGACACTTAGTCGAATTCGACACGATCGAGGAGAGCCAAGATGTAATCGCGGGTTTGATGTCGGACGGCAGATTGAAGGGCAAAAATTTCTGGACAGGTGGCTTAAATCCAGGACTTTTATGGATCTGGGCCAGCAGTGCTAGACCAGTTCACCAAGATACTAAACAGACCGTCATCGGTGATGGGAGGTCGGTATCTTGAATAGAATATTTTTACATAGATAGAATACGAATGGCGCATATATACATATGTTAAAGTTTCTATGTAGCACGATAATTAATTCTTAATGTTACAAAGCGCACGTAAAAAAGATACTCTATTACATTCTGTTATGCTAAACCAATATTTGCATTATAAATGTTTTGAATTGCAGATGTCTAAAGTTAACTTTCAACGCATCATCGAAAATTTATTCGTATAGAGGTGAAGATTGCGGTTCGAGACAAAGATATATCTGCGAATTAACGGTCGATGACGAATCGGCAAACAGAATTGAAAGAACGGCACGGTTATTAATTAATAAAAATGATTAGACACATTTTAATAGTGGATAAAGATAGAATAATAAAACAAACACGAGGAATTATTTATAAGTATATTTTTATAAATTCATGTAATATTTTCAGAAATTTATATTACAAAAATTTTATATACCTATGTATTAAAATAGTACAATCACAGTTTTCTAATTACAATATATTCTTAGATTTTTTTCTTGATAAACTAACTACGTGCAAATAATATTTGTATCAATCTTAGGTATTATATATTTATAAGTAAATTGACCATTTATTAAATTTTACCATTTATAAATATTTTCATTGTCATGGGCAAACTGTTAATGCGATATGTAATCTTGATGTATTAAAAATCACAGACTGAAGTTTTACAACTTCTAAAGATTTTAAATTACAATTTTCATACATTTTCATTTGAGCATGGTGCTCCCTGTATCACGTATGTTAGAATAAATTAAGATAAAGCGTCTCTTACGCTTTGTATAACTATCTTGATTCCTCCATCAAAATTGAATAAAAATCAAAATATTTAGATAAAAATAAATATGAACAAAAATAAACTCGACATTCGTAAAGTTAATAACAAAAATAAAGAAGTAAAAGTTCAAAAAATAATTTCTACGCTCTTTTTCTATTTTATTTCTAAGTCCAATCTTCAGATTTAACCAAGATCCGAATTGGTCACTAATATTTTTCAAGAAATATTTTTTGAACGTGATTGTATACAAAATTCTCCTTAGCTTGTGATCTTCGCGGCGTGATGCGCCATCACCAGGCTACGCTTGCCGTCGTTCACCAAGGACAGAATACGATCGGAACACTCGACTAGGCCGCCACGTTCGGTAATAATTTTTCTTGCAGCCGTTATGTCGTCGGGTTTTACACCACGACAGCAATCATCAATCACGGCTACCCGATAACCAAACCGCAAGCCATCCAAACACGTTTCCTTCACACATATATCAAGGGCGAGACCACAGACGTACAAATGCGTGGTGCCAAAAGCCGACAAAATTTTGTCGAGCTTCGAGGAACCATCTATATTTTCGAACGCTGAATATGATTCCTTGTCTGGGTCCTGACCCTTATATATCTTGAGTATAGAAAAAGAAAGGATATTCCGATTAAATACGCTACATTTCTTTGTATCAGATGTACGTAATTTCAACAATAAGATAATTTATATTGTAGATGAAATGTTTAAAGAATTATAGGGGGAGAAAAGAAGAGAGAAGGAATTCATGTCTCTCCAAATATATATATAATAATTCGTGAATATTAAAAAAAGAGATTACAATTACATTATGTGTAAGTTAATATCAATTACTACGCAAGAGTCTACAAATTTGCAGATTGTGTCATTATATTAATTAAATGTAATGACACGACTTTCCATTATCTCTTAACGTGTGAAATTGAATCTATTATTACCCGTTCGGAAGAAGGCAATATCAGTAGATCTTTATGCAATTCAGCGCCCCAGGTGTTCATAACACAATGCTTTGGCCAAAGTGTCTGCGTTAAATGAGGTTGCAAAAAAACGACGGTGTCGAAAGGCTTCGCCATTTCCTTAGTGATCTATTTCGAATTATAGAATTACAGGATAGATCCATAGAATTTAAAATATGAAAACAATAAGACAAAAGGCAATAAATCAATTAGTGAGATGTTTTTGCTCAATGTTAACAATATATTTAACAACGACTATTCCAAATTGTTTCGGCTTATACATTATGCCATCTGCAGTAGAAATTATAAATATCATAAAGCTTACAAAGATAAATTAAACATGCGATCAAATGTAGCGCTATTTGTAGTCAAAATCGCTAGCAAATCGATTGCCCTTTATTGTTTTCATATTTTTAATTTTTTATTGCCGAGTCAATGCTGACACTTTTAATCTACAAAATTTACTGTTTAAATTCATTAAAAAACACCAAGAACTCAAACTATGTGCTATAACTGAACGATACAAAAAATTAAAAAAAAATTATCTAAAAAGAACTGTTCAAAAATTTTTTCAGACATCTCTATTTGTATTATGTATATGTAGATAGCTAAAATATTTTGTGTAAAACTAAAATGTAATATTATATAAAAAAAGTAATTTTTAAAAAAGAAGCAAAATTAAAACACTAACATATTTATATTCCATTATCTAAATAATATAATAGTTTAATAAAATTTTATTGAACTATTTTATTATCAGGCAAAGGCACGTTTAAATACCTTAGATTCCGGATGAAGTTCACGCATCGCCAAGTTGTCAAAGAAGCTGATGTGATTCTCGGGATGCCAATCTAGCGAATACATCACTTTGTCCCAGCGGCCATCCCTCAGAAGCCGATTTATCGGTTCCAGGACTTCCAATCCCTCCTGCCCATAGCCGGATTGTCTAAGTGCCAACGTGCCATCGATGAAATCGTTCTGTACATCAACGACTAGCAAAACGTTGACAGGATTTACAGTCGCATGTATCCAATTACAACATCTGTAAGAGAAATTTGTTTATTGTGAAAAACGCGCGATCCGCGCGCGCGAACTTTCCCAAATAACAAGACGTCAAATGACGTTTCAATAACATCTTATTGATGTAAGAGACGTTATTAAGACGTCTTTTGACGTTGTTAAGACGTCACCTTACTACTTGGGTTATCTCTAAGAAATTTACTTTTAACCGAGTATTTGCACAAACAGAAAAATAAGAACAGAAAATTCTCTTTTTGCTCATAAAATTATTCTTTACGATTTTTAAGTTAAATAAAATTTTAATTGACTCAAAAACCGTAAAGAATAATGATAATAAAAATATTACGTAAAAGTGTCAATTAGGCTTAACAATTAAAATTTATAATATAAAAACAAACAAGAGCAATGAGCCAGTCTTATATTAAATCGAAAATTTGGAATTTATCCTTTGTTAAATATATTGTTAACATTAAAAAAAAAAACACCTTGCTCATTGTATTCTTGTTTTTCATATTTTAAAAATTAAAGACAAATCTATTAAATGAGAATGTCGGTATCTCAATTTTTTGTCGATGTTTGATCGGTCGAATTGATTATCACTGCCTATAATAATATATTATTACATATAGAATATTCTTATATATTCTTTTTACAATGTTTTATTTTTTCTTCTCTGAATGAACCGGTTCATATAGATTGATATCGGGTATTTTTAGGACACAGGATACAGTGAAGCATGTTACATCACTTTGTATGTGAATTATTTTCCTGGAATAGCAAGAAAGAATACCAAAAACTAAAAAATTAAATAATTTAATTTTGTGAAAAGAAATTAAAAGCGAAAAACAAGCGATGGAGGAAATAAAGAAATAGAAAGAGATTCAATTATTTTCAAATCAGATATTTCCGGCTAATAATTTCTAACTAATTGCAATTCAAAATTGCAATCATCAGAAAATAATTGCAATTCTTTTTTAATGTAAATTCGCACAAAAGTTGATTAATAAATTATTTTTAAAACTGCAAATACATTTCTCCCTTAAAACGAAACGTCGCTTCCAATAGAATTTAAATTACAAAAAATCTTTGAAATGCACATTAATTTAAAAACTATTTTATCTGTTTTTCTCTCTTTTTTGCCTTTTATTTTGGTTCCTCCCTAGCTCTTTTAACAACGTGAAATCAATTCGATTAATTTTTGTAGAAGAGTTTGCGCACTCCATCACCTGTGCAATTCCTGCTCGTTCAACGCGCCGTCCGCGTTTGCGTCGAACAGCTCGAAGATCTCTCGTGTCCTCCGCTCGTGCTGCTCGACCTCGTCCGCGTCGAACAGCCGGACGCAGAGAGTTCGGAACCTTTCGTAGTCGAACGTCCCCTTAGCTTCAATACCGAACATCGACAACACCTTTAACGGAGATGAAAGATCGTCGTTTACCGGTTGCGCCATGCGTAACAACGTTGTCGCGCGCGCCGCGCGTCACGTTCGCGTTATTTACGTCGGCACGACGATCGCACAACTGACGCTCCGATTTTAGTACACCGATTTTTATTTGTTCCGTATCTGGAGCGGAAACGTTCCGGTTAACCAATCAGAAAATAATCTACACTTCGAAGCATTTGTAGCACCACATGGACCCACAGCAGACCGCATCACTTCAGGTAGTCATGGAGACACGTAAATTCACATCGATCAATATAGGGCCGCCGCTTTGTCGCCGACCCGACACGCAATAGGCTACGGATGGAAAAGCATTTTTTCCTATACTTTTTACGAGTCTTATTTCTGTTATTTAAGTTTATAAAAGCAGCTTTATAATTTTACAAAAATAATCTTACATGATTTAAATTTTAATGTATTGATATCCTATCGATCGCTTTGATAGTTTAACAACGAAATATCATGTATGAATATAATATATAAAGCCAATATTGACAAAATTTCCCTATCTTATAATATACTATATATAGAATAAACTAATAATATTTTATATTATTAACTTATATTTATATTTTACATATAAGTTTAGTGTGAATTTTAACTTCAATTATACTTACCTTATACTTACGCTTTGAAGGAGCAGTAAACGAGTTTATAGACGCAAATATAAGGGCAGAATTTGTGAAGATTAAGAAATAGAAAAGAATAAGTCGGAGGTAAATGGAGCTCGTATAAAAAATTCTAAATAAATATTTCAATACTAACGTCGTTACATATATGTCTTTGAACAAACTTTAATTATTACAATAATCATTGGGATTTGATAACACAGTACACAGATTTAAACATTTTGTTTAATGATAACAATATAAGTATTGAAATATTCATTTAGAATTTTCTATATGAGCTCCACTTATATCCGACTTATTTTTTCCTCTGAGATATTTCTTAATCTTTACAAATTCTGCGCTTACCTGCGCCTACTCGTTTATTGCCCTTTCAAAGGATGAATAAACGCAGATAAACGCAATCAAAGTTTGCATTCATATATTTGTAAAAATGATTAATATCCATTTCTATCAATATAGATTAACTTTAAGACAACGATTTAATCTATTTTTCATCTTTTTCTTACTATAAGAATTAAGAAAAGATAAAGAATATATTAAATCAAGATTAAGATAAATTTAGAAGTGAACATAATTATTCAATTTAATTTAATACAACTTTTGGAAGTCAAAGTTTAACGTTTTAAATTTTTGTACTAATAATTTTATAAATTTTCTGCAATATTATTACAGGAAATATGTATATATATTTTTTTAAACAAATAAAATTATTGTTAAGGTCTATTTGATCAAGAGCATAGATGCATAAACCATTTGTCGAGAAATATCTTAAGATCAATATTTTTTGTTAATTTTAAAACTTTTAAGTCAATAGAATTTTTTAATTATATTTTTTAAATTTGTCGAATTATAAAATAAAAAATTTCTCGAGTTCAAAATTCAATCCTGTATTTAATCAGCACATTTGAAGAATTTTCTGTACAAAAAATGAAATAATTATACATTCATACTCACGTATTTAAAAAAATTTTTTAATTGTTCGTACAGCTAAAACGCAAATACGGTATTTATTTTTCATAAAAACTATTTCACTATGTAAAAAATGCAGTTAAAAATTTCTTCAGATTCTACAAACACAAGGCACTTTGTTCAGAAGTTTTAAAAATACAACTTAATAGTGACGAGCCACATTAACATTTATAATAGCTAGATGTTTGAACTTTCATCTTTTTACGTATTGTAAACCCTAGATTCTGCTGAGTTGTAATATTATATAACACAAGTATATATGTATACAAAGAATATCTTGATATTTAGTTTTTTTTTTTTATTTAATGCTAACTTAGGCTCGTCTTATTAAACAATTCATACAACAATAGAAGTCATTATTTTTCATAACGTAATCCCAGATAGCAAAACCTGCTGAGACAGATTTCGAGCAGAGTATGCTATCGTTATTTGATGGCAGAATGGCAACAAATTTCATACAGTATCTGTACTATATGATGATGTCGACAAACTGTTATCAAAAATATGAC